GAGTGACACGTAGACCGCCCGAAACACCGAATGAAGGTGAAGCTCGTTGATTTGAACCGAGCCGCTGCAGCCCTTGACCCTGGTCAACCCGTTTCTATCCGCTCCGGAGTTCACAACAACCCGGAACATGTAGTTGAAGGAGGAAGCTAGCAGGTTAGCAGCTACACGCAGTTAGCAGCTACACGCAGTTAGCAGCTACAAGCAGCACGACAGCAGCAGTCATCCACTACGTCATTACTTCCATCTACAGGTAGAGTCCTCAGGTAGCAGGCTTCGGTTTGGCGTGTACAACGAAGACCTGGCATCAGAGAAAAACCACATTGGAAACACACACACGCTTCAACTGTATACAACACACATCACGGACAAGTGTGTGTGTGTGTGTGTGTGTGTGTGTGTGTGTGTGTGTGTGTGTGTGTGCAGAGCCGGCCCGAGGCAGAGGCAGTACAGGCAAATGCTAAGAGCGTCACAAGCGCATACAAATCTAATATTTATAAGGTATAAAAATAATAAGATAAACATGGACAGCCATGTTTTTGTGTTATACACAATTAATCACATCTTATCTGTTACTGAAGTTAAACAAATTAATATTAATCAGTCACTATTGACAATTTTGGTCATATTCTGCATCATATTGCAAGCAAGTATGAGATTGATCTAATTAGTTAGTACTGCTAATTAGAACTAATCAGGCCCTACAGATTGAATGAGCTTGGTCTCATTTCTTTTTCTTGTTTCATGTGACTTAAACCCACCATTTTTATGCCATAAACTCAGGAGTTTATTTACCATAAAAACAGTAAATTTCTGAATATGCATTCTGCAACGCACACGTTGTTTTTGTAGTTAGATGTGTTTGTGTTGTTTGTTGTGTTTTCATGTTCTCAGTGTTCGAAAACAAAACGCTTCATAAACCGGAAGCAGTGGTGAGATGATTCTATCTGACTTGACGCGTGGAAGCAACAAGCCACGTCACGTCAGAGGGTTTTTAAAAAGCGGTGACGTTTGCATGATTTTTAGTTTTTCTATCAAAGAAATTAAATTTAGCAGTTTTCTAAATACATTTACCTTATTTTCAGCTTGTATTTGTATTTAGGAAAAAATAAAAAAACCCGATAAAATTGTTGTCAAAAATACTGTAAAATAATGAGAGGAAAATATAAAAACACACAAAATTTCTTAAATTAAAATACATTTATCAACCTTAGTTTTTAACAAGAGCTCAGTAGACTGTTTTATTTTTATTGGCTTTTTAATGTTTAATAAAGAATATTTGCAAATGGAAAGATAGAATATAAATATAAATAAATAAATAAAATATAATAAAATAAAATCAATATTTAAAAAACATTAAAAAAAATACTACAGCACTACACTTAAATATAAGTTCTATCAAAGAAAAAAAAGGAAATATTTGTGATATTACAATACATTTGCAAATGTGTTTTAAGTATTTTTATGATTAAAAAAAAAATATATATATATACTTTTTTAATTGTAATTTCACATTAGAATGTAAATTAGGTCTATTTTTTGTAATTTTAGTAATATTTTATGGATTTCAAAGATATGGGTGAAAGAAAAAATCCCATTAAGTGCAGATTTTTTAATTTAATTAGTGTACTAATTAACAAACATACATTTTTTCCTCTTCCAGGCCTAAAATCAAGATTATTTTAATCTTTTTTTTTGGTTTGTTTTCCCAGTTTAAGATATATAGAAATGCAATTAAATCTTTCATTTTTCCTCTTGTTATCTGCTGCGTAGACAAAGAGTTTAAAATAAAAAGTGAATATAAACAAGAATCCGATCTGCTTCACCGGTTCTTCATCAAACAGTTAAAAAAAAAAAAAAAAGCCAGGTGCAGCGCGAGCGTTTCACTGAGACAGAGTACAGCTTTATTAAAGTCAAACTTCAGGCATGTCTGAACTCTTCAAACTCAACTTTAGAATGAAAAAGGACAGAATCAATATTCTCAAATAAAAAGACAGTCATGTACAAAAAGAGTGTCGTCTCAACAGTCACACACATTTAGAAGCAGAATTGTACAGGCAAAAAGAGCACGCCACAGTAACATGATCCTATGCAAGTTCAATGCAAACTATTTACAGGTTCTTCAACAATATGTAGTATGCAGGAACACAGGTCGAACAGTAAGTAACATGGTAGTTTGTGTTCATCCACGTTTTTAATTGAAGCAACACCAAGAGAGATAGATATGACCCCAGTTAGAGTTACTGTAAGCAATTTTACTACGAGTAAAAAGAGATGAGTGCTTATGAAGGTGAGTTTACTTCTTTACTCCATCACTACTCGACAGCATGTCAATTAAAAACTCAATGAAAGTCGGCAACGTGGCACAAAAATATTTTTTAAAAAATAAAGACGTCACAGTGAACTGAAACAACAAATAGAGGGGAGGGGGGGTGGTCCGTCCTAAAATTAAGTGAAAAATGCTCCTCGGGCATATTTAAGGGTCACTTAGAACAAACATGCTGTCTCTTCAAAAAAAATAAGATATATGTGGGCAACAACAAACAACAAAACGTACACATCAGATAAGTTTTTTTTTTTAAATGGTGACACTTAAATCAGTAATACTGAACGAGCTGAGGAGGGCAGACTGGCACGAAGGGACGATCGTGGTCATGCGATCTGTAGGTGCAAAGAAACAGAAAGGCCGTTCGGTTTTATGCTGAATCTCTGTGCAATATGGTTAAAAAAAAACAAAAACAGAAAAAAGAAAAGACATAAAATCACTGTCTGATGTTAGAAAGCATGCGTTTCAGCTGAACCTTCTAAATAAAAGCTTTCAGGACCAACAAAAGTCAGGGATGATCACATGAAGAAAAAAAAAAAAACACCATAATAAATATAAAAATAAAGAATATTCAAGTTTAGATGACCGCTTTTTGCAAATAAAAGTGCGTTAATGATGCACCCGCCTGAAGTAATAAGTCATGAAAGAATCCGTTTTATTCTCAGGAGTCCACAAACAAAACAAACAAAACAAAAAAGGAGAAGAGCTGCTGAATAAAATTTAGTTTTGTGCATAAACACGTCAAAAGGTTGACAGAGGAAGAAGCTCCCATGAAGCACCTGTGTTGTGTTTCTGATGTGCATATTTAACATATTAAAGTCACTCATGATGTTTAAATCAGACATTTGAAGGCTGTTTCAGTCCAATACGCAGCGTTCAGGTTTGATGTGGTCGTTTAAAGGCTCCTGGACTTAAAAAAAAAAAAAAAAAAAGAAGGAATATTTGCATGTTTATAGATTTTAGACAATTTTCAAGGGACTGAAGAGCGAATATATGCAAGTTTAGATACTTTTAACAGAGTAATTGAGGTTTATAGCTTATAAAAAAAACCTTCTGCATTCAGTGGCTCGCCTTCTTTTTTCTCGTCTTCATGATTAAACATCCGGTTTATCAGCTCAGAGCCACTCGTGCAGTCGATTACAACAAAATCCTTCACAAGGCGTTCAGCTGTTTGCTCTTTGAGAGGCGTTAAATGAACTCTGGGGTTATTTTAGAGGGTCACTAGGGTGGTGGGGGGCTGGAGTCTATCCCAGCTGACTCAGGGTGAAGGCAGGTTCACCTGGACAGGTAACCAGTCTATCACAGGGCTACACTTAGAGACAGACAACCAAGCACACTCACATTCACACCTACGGACAATTTACAATCACCAATTAACCTCAGCATGTTTCTGCACTGTGGGAGGAAGCCGGAGAACCCGGAGAGAACCCACGCTGCACGGGGAGAACATGGGGACTCCACGCAGAAAGATCCCGGCTAACCACCGAGCCACCTTGCAGCTTGAACTTAGAAGTGTTTCTGTTCTTTACTCTGCTCTCAACAGCATCTTCTGAACACATCTCTGAAAAGGTTTCAACAAGAACCGACTGCACGACTGGTTCGACCCGATAAACAGGAAACCCTAAAATGATTTAACATGATTTGGAAACATTGGCACCGTTTGACCTCCACTTTTGACTCCAAAACAAACAAAAAAACATCTTTTAAGGGCATAAAACGCACAAAAAAAAGTCACTGGATCACGAGCAGAAGGCCGAGGCATGAAGACTGAGAAGCTTCCTCCTGTGATCAAACAGAAAGTTCACGTCCCAACACTGAACTGTTTTGAACACCAATCATTAGTGAGTCACGATCACAGGCCGATGAGCAGCGGCTGTTGTGGAATCATTACACCGAATGTAAAAAACAAAACAAAGGACTAAATACAGGTATCGTATGTAAAACTCCCCATATGTGTGTTTGTTTTCTTTTTTTTAAATAGTCTATTTCACTTCGGGTGGAGAGGGAGACAGAATTACTGCACTGGTGTCTGAAAAAAAAAAGAAAACTGGTATAAAATGTGGTGCGATAAATACAAAAAAGTTTGGATTTGACAGATGAGCGATTTAAAAACACTGTACAGGAGTTTGTACATCATACTGGACTGGACTGTTGGTACACCGTTTTTAGAAAGCCCAGCCTTGAGAGTGAAGAAGAAGAAGAAGAAGAAGAAGAAGAAGGGGAGGAAAGAGAAGAAGAAGAAGTGCCTCCGGAGGACACTGAGGACTTTTTTTAAGCCGGGCTGGCAGTCAATCCTACTTGTGCCAAAACAAACAAACAAACAAAAACAGCATTTAGGCCACTTTCCTTAAAAAACAAAACAAAAAGGAGAAACTTAAAAAAAAGAAAAAAGTAAAAACACACCCAGCACGTTTCCGACCGAGAGGCGAAAAAAGTTACGACACAGTTTAAATTCCGACGTCACTACGAGAGAGAAAGAAGAGGTATCCATTTTTAAAACACTTGTCGTAGGTTCTGTTCCGTTTACACTTCCCGTGTGTGACCGAGCTAAACGTGAAAGTGCTTTTCAGAAAAGGTTTGGCAAAATTAAAAAACAAAACAAAAACCGTCACAGTACACAACTGAACTGGACTGCGCCTGGGCAGTAGTTAGTACAGCCGAAATCCAACTTAAGGCTTATTAACAACACTTTAAGACAGCACCAGTGATCACAAGCTGGGCCCCTCCGTCGTCTACTGTACAAAAAAAAAAACACTCGGACGAAATGTGACAACGGGAAATCAAATTAAAAAAAAGAAAGGAATCTGTCTTGTCGTTTTAAAAAAGCTTCTCTCAGGAACAAGTCGGAGAGGCGGCGGCGGCGGCGGCGTCCCCCCTTCGCCCCTCCTGGTCTTTAAGTACTTTACAATATTGTGAGCCAATTATGTACACAATGGCAAGTGAGACTGGCAATATGAAAATCACAAGTACTTCTGTAATGTCATACCATTACACTATATACCATTATAATTCACCTTAATAGGACTATTTTCACAAGGAGGTCTGCGTAATGTTTCAACACCTAAACAAACAAACGTAATACACCACTCACCGAGATGAAGTGAGAGAATCTGTCTGTAAACATTAACAAACATAGATACTGTATATAATTATATTCATCTATACCCATAAGTATATTAAAACCATGTTTAAGGAAGGTTGGAATGTAGTGTGGTCCTGAAAAAAATTGCACAAAATCGGTCATTTCCCCTTCCCCTCACCCTCACCCTCACCCCGACCAACCCTCCCTGCTCCTTTTGTTCTCCAAGAAGAGATAAAACCGGATGACAGATCACGCCAGGAGCGATGGAGCAAAGCTGGCTCGCCTCCATCCTACAGCCGTCCTGTGAGTGAGATGTCGACCACAGCGTACAGCAGGTAAACCAGGACGGTGGACAGGTTCTCCTCCTCCTCCTCCTCATCCTCCTCCTCCTCCCCTCCATCCATCCATCCGTCCTCGCTCGCTGAGTTCTTCAAAGTGCCGGTAATAGACGACATGACGACAACACTTAAAATTTCCACAGCTGTAAAAACAATTTTTTAAAAAAACAACAAAAAAAAGAACGACGTGATGAGGTTGTGGTCTGGGCCCTCCGCCGGGCGCCGGCCAGCTGCAGAGAGTGTAAGTAGTGGTGTGTGTTTCTATGGCAAGAGAGGAGGGAAAACGGCGCACAATGATGCCGGCTCGCTCCCGCTGCTCTTACTCCATCCGCTCTGCTCTCGCCACAAACGGCACCGAGGTGTTCGTCAGTGTGTCTCGGCGCCGCTCAGAAAGCGCTGTATTCCCTTTAGCGGTGCCCTGCTTCAGATCGGAGGTGGGAGCGCGGCGCACCGTGCAGGGAATGAGGTATTGAGGGGAGTCGCGGCGTCACTCCGAGGCCGGCTGGCCCGACTCCGGCTCCGGCTCCTCTTTGACCCTGACGGGGCTCGCGGCGGAGCGGCGGGGCTGGGCCGAGCTGGAGTTGGAGCCCAGCGGACTGAGCGGGTTGTGGCTGGAGCAGCAGGGGCGGTCGTCCAGGGAGGAGGAGGTGAGCGCTCCGGCCTCGTGGTCCCGGCAGAACGAGCGAGGGCAGAAGTCACAGAAGGACGACGCCGGGGCGCCGCAGACGCTGCAGTCGTGCCACGGGCATTCCCAGCGTCCTGCAGGCAACAAGAGAGCAGTCAGTAGGAGATACCAGGAAGGCAGGGATCCCCAACGTAAGCTGCTGTCCTGCAGGTTTTAGACGTCACTGCAACACACCTGATTCACATTAATGGATCTCATGTCAAGTTCTACACAAGTCTCTTAGTGATCCATTAGTTTGAGTCAGATGTGTGCAGTAACGTCTAAAACCTGCAGGAGAGCAGCTCACGAGGACCGGAGTTGGAGATCCCTGCTGTAAGGTCAACTATGGAGATTGTGGACACACGTTTCTGTTAAACACAATCACAAAGTGGCTGCTTTCTTAACAAAATCACCAACATTACACCATTTATCAGAGCCAGAAACAGTAAATAAAGATCCATACATCATCTCTACACCTTAGTCCTCACTAGGGTCATGGGGGGCTGGAGTCTATCCCAGCTGACTCAGGGTGAAGACAGTTTCACCTGGACAGGTAACCAGTCTATCACAGGGCTACACTTAGAGACAGACAACCAAGCACATTCACATTCACACCTATGGACAATTTAGAATCACCAATTAACCTCAACATGTTTTTGGGAGGAAGCCGGAGAACCCACGCTGCACGGGGAGAACATGCAAACTCCACACAGAAAGATTCCGGTGCCCCCACCAGGACGCAAAATGGCAACCTTCTTGCTGCGAGGCAACAGTGCTAACCAACTGCGCCAACTTGCAGCCATTTTAATCATTTGAATTCAAATTGTTAATTCTTAGACTCAAAGTAAAAAGATCACAAACAATAGGAGGTCACTACATTTTCCAATCATAATGTTGCTGTACTTTGTTTACAAAGTGCTTACCAGATATACAATGATTGTGAAAAATACAAATAAAATGCAGGAGAGAAACGCCGTANGTGACCTTCTAGCTGTGAGGCAACAGTGCTAACCACCGAGCCACCTTGCAGCCCAAACAAAGAAAGATGATCGCTGGATTTTGCATTTTCCAACAGTCCTTGAACTACTCATCTGTGATGTACGAGCAGTTGGGACAATGGACTCATCAGAATCACCTCATCCTACACGTCTCATTTAGGAGTTTCCCAAAAATAAACGATTTGCTCTCATGAGACTCTGCAAAAAACTATAAATTCTGCTCTCATCAGTGCAGCTGAGAAGCCGTCAGTGACTCGGCTGTGACCTGCAGGGATGTGACAAAAATTCAGAGACTTCAGCTGAACTGCAGGCTGTGTTTTTAAAAAATGATTTATATCCTTACAACTTAGTTTGGTGTGCACCAGATATGTTGAAGGTCTCTCTAAAACAAACACACACATACAGGCTCCTTCAGTGTTTACCGTATGGAGGCTTGGTGAGGTTCAGACACAGCAGGTGATACGCCTTCGGACAGTCCTTCCTGTCACACATCACCAGCTCTCCTCCTTCGCCGCAGCAGAAGCAGAAATACTCGTGCGTGTGTTTGCCCTCCATCCGCATCTTCCGCTTCTTGGGCTTCAGCTTGGCGTTTCTGGCCTTCTCCTCTTTCTCCATCACCACAGCGCTCTGACAGAAACACCACAGAAGGGAAGACGTGGCATCAAACACGGGTTTCAGGCTGAGGTTTGCTCTCAGGTGGGAAAAAAACACTCAATTAACGTCCTCACCGTCGGCTGCACCCCGAGGAATCCGGAGCAGTTGTCTGCTCCGCAGTGACAGGACGTCCTCCTGTTGCCCACGCAGTGCAGGTTGTAGTTGAACGTCAGCTCTGTGCCTACAGAGAAACAGGGTTAGGGTTAGTACATGTAAAAGTTAAAAAGGAACTTTAAGCTCGAGTGTCGTGGTTCGATGTGAACTCACTGGCTTCGATGTCACACAGGGCAAAGAGTCCAATACGGACGTCACCGTTTACCGTCCACTTCTGGGTTTCACAGTTTGGGCTGCAGCTGTGGTTCATGAACCGGGACGAGTTCCCTTTGGGGCCGGCGTCGATCACGCGATCCTACAAGGAAAGACAGACATTAAGTCACGAGTAAGCTTCAGTTGTTAACTTCATGCAACCAGCATGTCTTCAAAATGTTAAAAAGTTTGTATTATTTTTTGCAACACCTGGCAGCTGTTGCTGCAAAACTCTACACGCACAAAGGCTAACGTTAGCTTCTTTAGGCTAACAGATCTTAAGCTGGATGCTGCTCATAACGACAGCAGTGTACTCATATCCCGTTTATGCCTCGTTTCCACATAGTTTTGCTTCATGTCCGTAAATCTGTACAGTATACAGACTGTGCCCCCTGGTGTTCAACGCAAGAAATGCATTTAATTACAGATGGATTTAAAGGGAAGCGTCCAAGGCTATCTGTTTTTTTTTTTACCATCAATTTTAATGACAAATGTGCATGAAGCATAAAAACAGGATTATTAATACATGGAGAGGAATAAGAGCGGAGCTTAAGCTGCCTCACGAGGAGCCTGTTGGGTGAAAT